GCGGTGTATCCCGGAGAAAATTTCTTCCAGGCTTGGAACGATGTTGGTTGTCAAGCCCAGATGAATTGGATTTGTGAAAAAGCACCAACTTCTATAGGTTAACAGTGTATATGTACTGAAAGTTGCTGTATTTACTTAGTGTGGGATTTGGGAAAGTTGCATTCCAATAAAATATTCAAGTCCTTCATGTTAACCTACGGCCTAACCCGTAATCCATGTGCAACTGCTGCTGCTACTGTTTGTATCATATTAATATACATATTGTATATGTCTTTTTTTGTGTTATCTGTTGTGTTATCTGTTGCTGTGATTCTTACTTTTTCTGTACATAAGTGTTTTTTTTTTTTTTTTCCTACTCCTTACTGTTTGTATACGTTTGTTTTTTCTCTATCCACTTTGCTGCTGCAACATCGGAATTTCCCCATTGTGGGACAAATAAAGGAATATCTTATCTTATCTTATCTTATCTTAACCTGCATAGTCTATTGTATGCTACTGAAACCCCCTGAGGGCAAATCATAGTGATCTTACAAACTAATGGGCAGAATAGAAATGTTTTTTAAACTACCTCTCAGCATTGACAGCGTGTCCCACATTGTCCCAGACAAACATATTCTTTATCTCACATTCGGTTTAATGGGATCTGGTCACCCTACCAACAGATCATAAGGTCAGTGCACATAAATCAATACTACATGCAAAAAAAGGAAAATCTCTGCTAGATTTGAGGTGCATATCCCTATCATGATAACACTGCATACTGAAATTAACATCAAACACACCAACCTTTCATTTTTATTACTACTGATGCCTGATGGCTAACACAGCAATGTAACAAATAATTTCTGATCTAGGCAAATGACATGGTATTTTGTTTCTGTAGATCTTGTATGATCTGTTGGTACACCTTTCTAAAATGGGATACCAAGTCTAATTGTTAATGAATTATTCAAAAATGCTGTAATAAGGTGGCATTAGTGTGTATTTAAAAACAGTTGGACCATCAAGTCTGCAGTTTGAGTTTACAAAGGATAAAATGACAAATTATAAGGATAAATAGCTTATCATTGATCTAAAAGGGGAGTTCATCTGATGTTAATCTGTAAGTGAGGTGCAAATACAGCATTGTTTTGGACACAATGGAGAAATGTTACACAGATCACTGATATTTACTGATTACCAACTATATTCCACAAATACACACAAAGGCCTTAGCATTCAGACCAGGGTCCAAACACACACACACACAAGCCCTATCACTGGTATAAGCAAGAGACAAACAGATCAATAGGCACTACTTGCACCAGCATAATGGACAACTCACAGTCACAGTCAGAACCTGAGAAGGAAATGTCATTTGAACAGAAGATTTCTCAGACTTTCAACACAGATGGGTTTTCAGGCTCTTGCCATCAAACACCTGGACGAGGTACAACTAACTTTAAAATCCATCCTTCTGCAGTTTCTGACAACTGTCCTACTTCTTTTACTCCACCTTTTTACTCTTTTCTCTCTTGAACTGACTCACTGTGACTTTAGTTAATTCAGTGACTGAAATGTATATAAAATATTGTTGAATATGATTTTTAAATCTATTCTATGGTTTTATAACTCAAAATGTAACGATTTTAACCCTATAAACCAAATCCATCCTTATTTTAATCTTGAGGGTCTAAATTAAGATGAAATATACATTTAAGATTTTAACTCAGAATAACATTTTCAAGGTCTGTTTATGGAGAGAGGTGGGTCTGCGTTTCCACACCACCGACTGGTTATACTGAGTCTGAGTCTGCTGAATGCAGTTCTGCTGATAGCCACTGTGGTCATTGGGATTTACTGTAAGTATGAGTTCACAGAAAACTGCTGATTTCCTGTATCTGATGTACAAGTATCCAATCCAATTTATTTGTTAAGCACTTTAAAAACAACCCAAAGTTGACAAAGTGCTGTAAGGAGAATAAATAAGACATCATAGTCCTCAGCATAATCTGATTCACATAACCGACCTGACAAAATATGGATATGCAAGATTGTATCAAATAGAAATAGATATATCTTTTTCAATTTATTTTTTCAAGTATTAATATCCTTTAGCAATTAATGTGTACCTCATATGTATGGACAATAGCCAGTGGCCATTTTACAACAGTTTTTTAAAAGTAAGATCTAGTTAATATGGTCAATATGGTCTAAAACAATATGACTGTAACTAATTATTCTTTTCATTATTAGTTAGTTGACCTCATACTTTGTCCATTATTAACTCATATTCTGGTCCATAAAATGAAGAAATACCACAATAAATTTCCTGCGGTCTCAAGTTGCTTGTTTTGCCCACACCTCTGAAACCAAAAGTATTCCTTTACATTTATTACTGTAACTCTTACTGAAGGTTTCGAGACAGACATTTTTAACTGGTCTAGAGCCATGTTATAGCAGCTCTGTGGGGCTGTACTGGCACAACAGTACACAGTACATGCTAACAGGTTCACAGTGACAACACTAACATTTCCCATGTTTAGCAGGAATAATGTTCAGGCAGTTTAACATGCTAACGATATTTATAACTAGTTGCTTAAAATCAATACTTCAGTGGAGGTTGATGGAAAATGCAGGTATTTGGTCATAAACCATAAAAGTGTTCACCAAACCTGTTACAATTCATCTTGTGGGGTCATAAACGTCTGTAACAAATGCATAGCAATCAATGTAATAGTGGCTGAAACATTACACTTAAAATCACAAATATCATCCCCATGGTGGCTCTATGAAGTCAGTGGCTAAAAGACAAAATACTCCTCTTTCTATATGCTATTATGAGTTTCTATGCCTCAGGTGCCAAAGCCCAAGACATTTACCTTCAGGTTCCTGATTCAGCTGCTACACCCCTCATCATTGAGATGAACTATCTCCGCAACCATAGCGGTATCATCAGAGCTAAATTGGAGGCCCAGGCAGCATTGGCGAAACAGCGTGCCAGCCATGTGCAAGTAAAGATGGAAGTAAAGCAGCAGCAAACCCTCACTGACAGCCTTCAGAGACAGATTGAGACACTGCATAAAGAGAAGACAACACTGCTGTCTGAGAAAACCTCCTTAGGTAAAATTTAAGGCAGACTTCCAATCTGTCTTTAATGGCAAACAGTCCTGTAACATATCATGGTTAAAATGATCAAATCTTCTCCCCCAAGGGAACACATGCTGTTAACCTGCACATTTTGTATATTTGTTATTGATCATAATATGTATACTTTTTAGAAAATCATTTTTTTTCCTTCCAATTTCCTGTTGCAACAGAGGAAAACTGTGGCAGATGCCTTCCAGGATGGATTCTTCTTAAATCTTCCTGCTATTATTTTTCTTCTCGCCAAGTGTCCAACTCCAAAAAGAACTGGTCAGATAGCAGAGCACACTGTAATAGTCAAGGGGGCGACTTGCTTGTGATCAATAACTTGGAAGAGCAGGTGGGTAAAAACCTAAATGGATGGGTTTCAGTCTGAAAAAAAATAGTTCTAGCTTCATGGGAATTGTTCTGTAAATTATTTTCACAGAACATACTTTTGATGTCTCTGCTTCTGGTTTTAAAGTCCCATAAAGTTCATTTTTCATGGTTCTGTTGCTAACCCTAGCCCTAGGTGTTCTATTAGCTGAAAAATGGACAGCAAATGGGTCAAGGGCCAAGCATCATCTAAAGTGGCCTGTAGTTGTAGTGCCTTTATTATTCTTTAGATATGTTGTGTAACATTTAAAGTGTTAATATTACCTGAAGCAAATGGGAAATGACATTGTCTCAGAACAAAGCCAGGCAGCAATTACATTGTCACCACAACAGGATTCTTATAAGTATATAGAATTAAATATTATAGAAACGTAATTTCTAGGAGACAATGCATACTGTAATTACACAGCTTTTTTTTTAATCTGAGCTCTTCAAACCAGTAAAACACAAACAGAGAAAATATCTCTTGTCAAAAAACATCTTTAACTTTGGGAATAAAACATCCACCCCTATTACTAAGAGGGAAAAGCTCCATTTGATCGTAATGTACATGTTTGCTTTCTTACAGCTACTTATGAGTGACAACTATCCAAAGCAGAGCAGCGGCCATATGTGGTGGCAGAACGGATTTTGGATCGGCCTCACTGATGTAGTGACGAAGGGAACGTGGGTCTGGGTTAACAATGTGACCGAGGTGGAAACAATGTAAGCATCAGCTCACAAACTGCTATTGACTTTATAGCTTTGTGACAATGTCATCATGACAACAAATAGAGTGGAACTAAATTCTTCTCTGAATGATTCTGATTTATCCAAGGTACTGGAGAGATGGACAGCCTGTCCTTTTAGGACCTCAGGGTGGGAACTGTGCTGCTTTTTATCACTATGGCGATACCAGGAAGACATGGTATAATGGGAACTGCCACAGCCATCAATATAACTGGATATGTGAGATGGAGCCAAAAAACACATGAAATGTCTCAAGCTGAAATCACATTAACTGGACAATGTATGCATGTGAGCATTTTAAGGTTTTTAAGGTTTGCTTATGTATGTGTGCAGTGCTAGTATTTTTTCCCTGTCATGTTTTAGCAGAAAACAGGTGCAAAAATGCCAAAACATCTCTACAACTCTAGCAGGACAAAAAGAAATACTCGTTATCTTGTTGATTCCTCTGAAAGTCTGAAATATATAACTGAATAACCTGATGAAACACAATACGTCCAGTTGTATATATAATATTACAAAACCATGCTCAACTAAATAAAAAAGGTGACACCTGAAGAAATGTGTTATAAAGCTTGACTGTTTGAATAAATCAGAAATCATTATGTGAGGACACTGCTCTCCAAATTACCAGCACATCCCCCCTGTAAATATTTAACTAATGAACCTGATTTTCTGTTTGTAATGTTCCACACACGCACCCACACACAGGCCAACGTCCTAACAAAACCCCCCCTCCTCAACAAACACATCAGTCTGCTCTCATCTTAACAGTCAAAATGGAGGACAGAGGGAATTCAGGTGGCAGTTTTGATGGTACATATAACAAACTGATTAGTCAAGAGGACTTGAGCGGAGATGAGCACTCGCTCTACTCAAACCAAGAGAAGCAACAAGGTATCGTACATGAGAAGTGCATTAATGGCTGAGTACAGCAACAAGAATCTGTTTATGTATAATCTGATCTTTAAATAGATTTAAATAGACGTTTCTCTGTGCTAATTTCTATGCTATTCTTTACATGTATCCTCATTTTGCTATAAGTAATTAAGTGTATGTTTTTATTCATCTTTAGAATATACAGATAAGGAAAAATTAAAGGGGAAAAAACAACTGTCTTAGTAGGGTGTTCAGTTTTTCCTTTGTCGATCATCATCATTGTGATAATATTGAACTGTCACTGTATTGTGACGCAGTTTATGGCTCAGATATTGATCCACCACTTCTCTGTGTAGTTTCCATGTCCATGGTGAGACCTGACTCCAGTTTGAATCATTACAAACTGCTCACAGTGAGCCTGGCAGTGCTCGCTGCCATTCTACTAGCAGCTGATATTGGCCTGGGAGTCTACTGTAAGTAACCCACCAAACCCTCCTAGATTACCAGTATTGTGGTGATAGTTATGAGGTGACATACCGTTCACAATTGATAACATTAAAACTAATGTTTCAGCCTTAGACTCAATGTAGAGCTCATCTTCAAGTAACAAAAACAGGCAACAAAACAGGCGCAGCTACTTAAAGTTTGATTTAAAGCTGCTATAATCAATATCTTTATTTTAACACGACTTTCTGAAAAATAAAAAACTATTTTTAACAAATTGTTCTGGTTTAATGGCTGAAACCTTAACTGTTTCTGTTCACTCACCGCTTGCACCAGCAAGCCAGGTAAACATAGTAAACTATTTAGCAGCTAAAGACCAAAACAGAGCTAAAAGAGAAAAGTGAATATTGGACTTACATTAATGTAATGGAGATAAAAACAACTGTCTGCTAGCAACTGTTTGCTAACAAGTTTAAAGTGTTAAGTTCTGGTTGCAGCTTCTTTCCTCTGCCCCCAAGTGATAAATAAAATCAGTAATGCAGGTTTATGAAATGTTTATAAAAACCTGATAAATCTATATTATATGTGTTGGTGGGAATACAGCCTGCAGTTGTACTCAATTACACTAGCAAGGACAGCAGAATCAGAAATACTTTAATAATCCCCGTGGGGAAATTACTTGAAAGGTGGGTACAAGAAACAGGA